AAAAACTTTTCCCTATTGGCAAATTGGGCTTTTAGCACTACCCAAGAACGTAAGGGGGTGCATCTGCCCAGGGGTATATGGTAGAGATCAATCATATGTATTACACCACCTATTGTATGATTTAATACTCTTGTAAATAGTTGGATTAGGCGTGTGGCATGTAGAACAGAATGATTATCAATCATATAAAGATGTGACATTAACATGCATTACGAATTGAGTGGTTTCTAGAGTTAGGACCTATTTCATATTATCACATAGTTACTATAATTTTTTTTTTTTATGGAAATTTTATAAATTTTATTCAATTATAAAAGTAGTACAACAGATTAGGAATCGAGAACATCAGAAACCACCAAATTAGCAAGAGAAGAACCATGTTTAGGAAGGGAATCCACTATGCCATTTATCTCCCTGAAGATATGAACAAATAAGAGTTAGGACCATTTCTTATTATTACATAGTCACTACAAATTTTAAATATACATTAAACACTAATTATGTAAATTATATAACAAATATGATATGAGTGATATGTAAAGCTATGAACTATTTCCTATTATGTAATATTGTTCTAAATTTTGAACATATGCTGAATGTACACGACAAATATGACATGTCTCCCGACTCCATTCTCATTAAAGGGTAGGAACCTAAATGCCCAGTGAGTTACCATTTTACTTATCTAAAAAACATGTCTCGAGGCCTAACGTCTTTTGTCACGTATTTATATAAATATAAATATAATAATCAGAATAGTGATTTTCTGCATTAAAAAGATCTTTTAACATTTTTTGACGATAGAGAAAAATAATTATTATTATCGCGGATAAATATTGCACTATTTTATTTTATTTCATGTAAGAGCAACATGCATGACAATAATAATAAAAAAATAGCATGCATTCATGGGGCCAATTCCATTGATTTCGATAAATATTGTACTATATAAAAATGGTCATGTGCTTATTTTTTTTGGGGTGAGTCGGTGGGGAGTGGGCCCCTACCCTTGGTAGGCCTTGCTAAGAATTGATCCTAGGACGTAGACTTGCAAATTGTAAAGTGCTAACTAATTAGGCTCGAGCCCTTTTCCTGACCGTATGTTATTTGATTTTATGGAAGCACAACATACACGATAATAACAAAAAAAAAAGAAGAAGTATGCATCCATAGGGTCAATTCCATTGATTTTTGGTAGTTTTATGGGTACATGCATGGACCATTATAAATTAAGTAATTGGCCAGTGGGTTTATCAAGAATTTTATTGAATATTATAACAAACAATGAAAAAAAAATTCTATTTCATTATTTTATTACTACTACTACCTCATACTTCTAAAGAGCAAAGAAAGGACAGTTTTTGGTTCCTATATTCGAGAAGCTACTCAAGGATATTAAATGAAATTTAAAAATATACTTTTTTTAAAAAATAAGAAATATATTTGTAATATATATTTTTTATGATTTTTTTTTATCATTTTGGCAAAGATTAAAAAATATTTCGGTCCAACTAGGGAATATATAAAAATAAATAAAAATATAAAAATCTAAAAAATAAGAAATCTACAAAAATTAGAAATCTATTTCTAATATGTCGTTTTTATATTTTTTTATCATTTTGACAAAGATTAAAAAATATTTTGCCCATGAATACTTATTTTTATATTTTTGTAAACATAGACTCTCACTTACTTCAATCCATAACTAAAACATCCCATGTAATGACAAGAATAGTATAGAATCACACTAAAACTAATGAATCATACAGCATGGAGAAAACATTAATAGCTAAATTGTCAAAAATATCGATACCAAGAAAAAAAGCAAAAGACAAGTACACAATTGAGAATAAGGAAGACGTATGGCAGCAAAGATAGAGAAAGATAATGAAAGATAAGTAAAGTTAATATAGCCTATATGAGTAAATGGCTTGGGTGTATCCCAGTAGGGTTTTTTAACTTCTATAACATTAAAATCTCAACTAATGAGAGAGAGAGACCCTGTAGGGTTTTCTAACTTCTATAACATCGAAATCTCAACTAATGAGAGAGAGAGAGTGGGGTGTGCATGCATTGATAAAGGTTATCATGCTCTTGGATTCAGAATCTCCTTGGATGTGAAAACAATCTTAGATATGTATGCACATGTTTCTCTCTCTTAAATTTGAGTTGAGGATAGATACTAATTTTAAAATATTTGAACCAAAAAATAAGTTAAAAAAAATCCCATATTTCTCTCTGTTCCCAAAATCTAAACTTTCTTTCTCTCTTCCTAAAATCGCTACTCTTCAAGCACAAAATATTAGGAATGGGTAGAGATTCTCCTTCTCTATTCTTTACGCACAGATTTTAGAAAAGGGTTAGAAAAAAAATTTCTCCTAGCTCTCAATAAGATAAGGAAATCTTTCTCTTCCTAAAATCTCTACTCTCTCTCTTTCTTTCTAAAATTTCTACTCTTCACACAAAATATTAAGAAAGAATGGAGACTCTCTTTTTCTCTACTCTTCACCTATAAGTTTTGGACAAACTTTCTATGCTTCCCCTACCACATAGAAGGTCTATCCTCCCCCTTATCCAACCGTTCATTCTGAATGGAGGGCTAAGATTGTCCTAATCATAATGTCACGTCTCTACACTATTTTATTTTTAATTTTTTTTATAAACTATTTTGACACCAAAATTTGGACGTTCATTCCTCTATTAAACTCACGTTAGCGAAAAATATAAAAAAATTATTTTCAATAAAATAAAATGACCAAAATACCCCTGAAAACTTCAAGGGGTATTTTGGTCACTATATTTTATAGAAAAATTATTTTTAATATTTTTTATAGGTGCACCCCAATGAGAAGATGTCATGTACCAAATTTCATATTCATTCAATGTGTATAAAAAAATTAAAATTAAAATACTTTGAGACGTTGGATTTAAGATCAAATGGTGAATAACTCTCATGATCAAAACGGCTAGATAGTAGGGGGAGGATAGAACTTATATGCTGTAGGGGAAGCATAGAAACCTTTCGCATAAGTTTTAGTCTATCTCTTCTCATAGGGCGCCTTTATTTTTCTAAGATATCTTTTGGAAAGTTGAATATTTTTAAATCTTTTGAAAATTTGAATGTTTTGTTCCGGAATGTTTGAATAAGTTATGGGTACTATGTTTGATAACTTGCTGGAATGTTAAGAAAGGTTTGGTATTGTGTTTGATAACAAATACATATTAACCATATAAATATAAATAAATAGTATAAATATCATATAATAAAATATACATATATTATATATGTTATACATATATAATATATAGTATCATATAATATATTTATATATTATGTATATAATATTTATATTATGATTTATTATATTATATATAATATTTATTTAATATAATATATTATATTATATTTATATATATTATATAATATAATATTATTAATATATATTATTATTAATATATAATATTATAAATTATAGGGTGCTGTTTGTATAGAGCCTAGGCTCTAAACAATCAAATTAAAGCCTACCTTCAAATAGTGTCGAGAAATGTCATTTCAATTCTAAAATTCATTGTGATGACCTTAAATATATTTCATCTTTATTTATAAAGTTTAAAGCTTCAAAAATAGTGTAGATCGAAATCTATGAAAAGTTAAAAATCTTGAAAATTGACGGTCCAAAAATGCATTACAAAGTACACTATTTCAAAAACTTGAAATCCATTTTTTTCTCATGTCCATGCATATTGATGTTGAGATGATCAATTTGAGGATATTTGGGCATCAAAACAACCTCTTCTAATAATTTTTTGGAGGTAAGCCCTAATTTGATGGTTTAAAGCCTCAGCTCTATATAAACTTTTCCCTAAATTATAATATTATATTATATAATATTATGCTATAGTAATATTATAATATATTATATCATATTAATAATACTAATATTATATATTTATATTATGCATGATGAATAGTGAAAAAAAAAAAATGAAATATTAAGTTCCTATCCCCCTAGGAACTTAATCTTTCACTTTTTAACAAAGGAATGAGAACTTTTGTTGAAAGATTAGTTCATGAACTTTTCATCGAAAGTGTGAAACAAACACGGATCCTACAATCTCTATAGAATTAGAGCCCTTTTTTATTTTTGTTACTCGTGTCCACTCATTAACTGTCTTAATAATACGGTTTAGATATAAATATAGAAGGGTATAGTTTGCATACCGATGCATCCGTAGGTGTAGAGGTAAGGTGCTCGTTCAAATTTTATCATGGTATATAATTTTGATGTAAAATGTTCTTAGGCTTATCTCAAAATCTATTTTTATATCTAATTATAAAATTTTAAATTTAAAAAATGGTTAAAATCAAGTAAATCTGTGACCATATAAAAATCTTGAAAATGGATGGTGTAGATAATATGTTGTAAAATGCACTATTTCTGAGACGTTAAATCTTTTTATTATTCATAGTTATACATCTCGATATCGAGATGATCAATCAAAAGGTTTTTCAACATTAAAACTACCTTTTTCCGATGGATTTTTGTGGGGCATCCGTAGTTCTACATACATTATAAGTTAGCATCCTTGTATAAGTGGGCATCCGTAGTTCTACATACATTATAAGGTAGCATCCTTGTATAAGCTTTTTCTAATATAGAAATAGATAAGATTTTTTTTTTTTTTTTGTTTATTTTCCTCTTGAAACTATTATTTTGTTAATTTTTCACTTTGAGATGGCACGAAACGAAAGAGCAATGGATCCCACACTCTCGGAGATCGTAGCGCAAGGATCGCACACTCTGAGAGAGAGAGAGAGGAGAAATACTTCAGAGAAATGACGCCCATGGCTTCAACCTCCACCCCATGGCAAGGATCCCACACTCTAAAGAGAGAGAGAGGAGGGAGAAGTGCGTCTATGGAGCGCGCGCATTTGAGAGAGAGAGAGAGAGAGGGCAACAATACAATTCCAATAGCTTAAGAAAACAAGTAAAACCCAGGAAAAAAAAAAAATGGAAGCTCTGTATTCATCAAAAGCTCCGATGTCTTCGTGGGTGTAAGTTCCACATCTCATTCCAACCTCCTCATACATTAACTAAACCAACAATAATCAGCTCCTCTCAAACTCAAATTACGCCACCCCCAACTCAGTCCTATACAGCCACCTCAACAAATTGGACCCAGGCGTTCTCAATTCAGTCAAGAGAACTGGTTATCCTGATAATCACTTGGAACAAACACAGGGAGCTGAGAAGACCCTCTTCCCCTCCCTCCCCTGCCTTGCTGCCTCTGCAAACCCAAGCCCTCGGGCCTGCCATTTCCCAAGCTAGACCCCCTTGAATCCATGCTCAAAAGTGGACCGCCAAAGAATATCGACTGCTCTGTGTATAACAAATTCTGGTTCCCAATGTTAGAGAGAGAGAACACAGAGGAACTATTAGGAGCACCTCCACGACCCGAGAAAACTGATCCTGGTGCACGGCTACCCTCCATTCCTCGCCTTCTCTCTTGAATTGCCTCTGAGGTAGAGAGAGAAAATGCAGAAGAGCTGCCACCTGAGAAAACTGATCCAGGCTCATGGGTAACTCCAATTACTGGTCTTGTCTCTGAATTCATCTCTGAGGCAGCCATTCCTTGATTTGAAGCTCCAACTCCAACCTCTAAATTCGCATCAGTTCCGTTAGATACAGGACCCAATGTATAGCGTCCAGCCCCTTGATCCCAAACCACTGAAGCTGTTAAGTTATCTCGGCCTGTATAACTGCTTTTTCTACCTGGTTTCTCACTGATACTCTCAGTAACCGAGCTATCAGGCCTGTTTGGTGTGGATCTACCCGTTGAGGACTGGTAAATTGGGTTGTAATGCTCAGCGTCAGGCATCATCCTTCCCACTGGGAATGTCGCATTAACAACATTCGAGAGAGAAGCAGCATTTGATGAAAGAGAAGGCCGCTCCGATGCAAGGGGGCTTAATGAAGCTGGTTCATTAGTGTGACCTGGGCTGCTAAAACTGCTAACACTACGTGTTATAGGGGAAAAGCTTTGGTTATTGTTCCGAGCTTCTTTATTTGGTCCAATATCTAAGCTTCTCAGACTACTTGCCCCACTGATGTTTCCACTAGAGTAACCAGAGCCTCGATGGGGTCGGGAACTAACAGGGCGTAGGACCGAGGAGGAGGCACGGGCTTTAGCAGCAGCTCTCATTGCTTCATTTGAATCTAGTTTGGCTAGTTTCCACGCACTGATCCTGACTGCTCGTTTGGGGGGTCGGTTTGCACCAACAGCATCTGGATCGACAGTTGAGGGAACACGACCGGGACCCAAGTGGGGGATCACCTCATCCTGATAAAAATCATGAACCAACATAACCCACAATAAGTCATACGAAGAGTTATGCTTCTTTATCACTAAGCAAAGGCACAGTATGACTTCTGCACAAATACTGCACTATAGCTTGGTTTGCATGAGGGACAAATTCATGGATGGAACGATTGAAATGAACAGATCAGAGTCCCCGAATAAAGATGAACAAGAAAATCACAATATTTCAGCAAAACAATGAGAGATAAGAGAGAGAACAAGGAAATGCTCATCAGTTATGTTAAAACCTTAAAAATCCCCAAGAAATTCATAATGAGTGAGGTGGCACAGTTGGTTTGACTTGGTCAGTATGAGAAAGTAAGATTACTACATTTATATCCATTTAGATAGTCCCGTGTGCAGATGAACTCCTCAAAAACCACAGAAAATACACCCAGCAAATCCTTAACAATGAGTACATCTAGGTCATTGAATGAAATCTACCATCTCTCCAGTTATATCCAGAACTCGGTTAACCAAATGCAGAGATAACATTCCAAAAGTTGGGGAGAATAAACTGATTTCCATGAAATTGGGGGAACCCACAAAAAACCAAAGAACTTTTATGTATAAGCTGGAATTCATGAATGGTGAGAACATAATTCCTAACTACTTTCAATTTTTGGGTTTACCTTGGGGATTGATAATCTAGGCAAATATCTTATCAAATAAGAAACTTTCCTCCAGTTATATCCAAGTATCTGGGCTCACTACAAACCAGTGACATTGAAAATGAAATCGAATATTCAGCAGCTTCTTTATTTTTCAAGATTTCTTGCCACATGTTATAGTAACAGACAAGAAACGATTATTTTTTCTAGCTCTAGGATTTAGGTGTCACAGACTTAGTTGAAGCCCCGCGCTTCGACCATGCGACACTCGTTCCTTGGTCCATTAAGGACGAGTCAACCATTTCACCACGAGCACAACTGTGCACCAACCAAGCACAAAATGCTAGCCACTAGTGCGCACCACCACACACACTAGCCTAATCCACAGATATGCACCAAACACAAAGAGAGTAGCCACGCACACACAAGAGAAGGACACACGAGTTGGTTATAAATTCCACTAGATCTCAAGAATGCTTACAAAGTCCTGAGTATTCCTCACTCTTCTGAGGTGTTTTACAAATGAGGGTCCTCCCCTTTAAATAGGCTCAAGACGTTACAACTAACGGTTAGGATTAAGCCGCATAGTACACATCCAGCGGCTAGGAACCATCTATTACATCGTTCTAAAGCATTCTACACAGCCCAGCCCTTTCGGATACATCCAGAAACCCACTAGAACTCTCATGAGTTTACTAGACTACTCTAGAACTGTCCTGTCCACTTGAGAGAAAAAACGGGTCCACGCATGTACAAGGCGATTTTGGGGCAACATAGGGCTCTCTTTTTTGAAAATACTGAGTGTGCAGAAACATGCTCAGGTTTGAGACAGTTCCCTGAAACAATTCAGAAAAAGATAATGGACTGTGTGTAGCTTGAAACAATTCAGAAAAATCTGCCCCCCCCCCCCCCCTCTCCTCCCTCCCAAAAAAAGAAAAAAAATGAAAAGAAAATAGAGCATATAGTAAGAAAATTTCACAAATCATTATCAAGAATAGCAAAATTATACACAAACACATTTATTCATAATTCATTAGTGATTTGGTAATTTATATACACAATTTATTTTGTATACCAGATTTTGTACACAACTTGTCTCGGCAGGGTGCCGAGGCAACTTGCCCCAGGTTTAAAACATTGTAAATACTAGGCATGAGATTAGTACCTGGTGGTCCACAAACACTCTGGGTGGTGTACACCATGCTCCTTTATACTGTAACCCAAGAGAACTTCCCCCACTCATTGCAGTCACAGCGGAACTGGTTGGTGACGATGGCATACTTTGCTGCTGCTCTCCATCCACTGATGGGCCTGGTGGCTCACTCTGAGTTCTCATAGCCACAACGTACTCATAGGTTGTAATACCCTATACCAAACCAATTAACCACAATAGAGTTATTTGGTTTGAGAGAGAGAGAGAGAGAGACCGCAGAAAACAGTGACAGACCTTTCGAATCAGAATCATGTGGAAAAAAAATAGCTCCCCCAGGGGCACGGTTGCGAGCAAAGAGACGGCTGTACACACTGCCTGTAATAATAAGAAGCTTGATGAGGATGCGAATAATACAAGAAGGCTGATAATTACTAGAAAAAAGCAATGAACATGAGAGAAAATAAAAATTACAGATATAATTTCCAGATATAATAATAAGGAAAATGGAAGATACCAAAGATCAGAACAAGGAACGGCGCCACTAGACATGGCCAATAAAAATGTCGTGGTTTTGGTAAAGTTTGTCTGATTTTGGTTCATCTCAAGGGTGAAGTAGAAATAGACTATTGGATTCCACTATTTGTTAAAAAACAACTTACATGTTAGGCAATATTACCTAGACAATCAGCTTTTCTTATATGTTCCATGTCAACATGTGCCAACACTTAGACATGTGTTAACATTTGTAGATGGGCCTCGACATGCTGACTGTATGTGTTGGCTGATTTGAGTATTGCTTGGTACGTGGCAACACATATAGAAGTGTCCTGTTTATAACATGCATTTTACCCTTAATTTTTAAAAAAGTTGCACCTAATAAGGTTTGTCCCCTGCTGAGTTCTAGCCCAAGATCTCCTTGGTAGATTGAAGTTCACTCACATAGGCGGCCATATGTCTTTAATGAAATAGAAAAGAAATTTATATATGAGATAGCTAGTAAAACAACATAAAGCTTAAATTGAAAATGTCATAACAGAGTGTGTCACTCGCTTCTTCGCTACCACCTGGGCCATGCAACATGAATGTCAAGAAGTAGGAAATCTAAATATAACTAGATAGACTCAAGGAATAAAGTGAAAATATAAAAGAAGTTTTTCAAAATATGAATCTACTCTACTTTTATATATTTTGTATAAAATATATAATTTACTAATGACTGTACAGATGTCTCAGCAAGTACTGCATCTATGGCCTCCTATACTAGACACCCCCACATGTACCAGACACAACATGTATGTCGGTGTCCATGTTAACACTGGTGTCAGGGCTGAGACCACACTGTAACATGAACATGTCAAACAAGTAGAGAACTTGGCCTGTTGGCCACTACAATAAACTTGTAAAGCAATTTTTTAAACAAGGAATGGTCGCTCCTTCCCTCTTTACGTGTTTGTGGCGATTGAAAATTTTATTGCCTGTTGTTAAATGTCATCGATAGAGCTTGCCAATGCATCGAAATTCATATCAAACCCAACTAGCTAAATACTCTAACAAAGAAGAAGGCCAAACAAATGCACAAAACCAAAAAGTAATCAGGAAATAATTAGTAGATACATGTATCAACCCCCACAATACATACCACCACAGTTGCAAAAGGAGCCAGGGTGAACCCATTACCAAGCCTATCAATTATCTGTTCCTCTGTGCCCTTTCTGTTAACGAAACACCGCACAAGGACGGCGGTACCGACCCCAAATTCGATCAAAAGCTAACATAACAAAAATATTAGGAGGCTGAAACTGCAAAAATAACCAAGATATTCATAAAATAAAGGTAAAGCATCATTCTTTCCACTTACCCAAACAAGACTACTGGCCATTAGGGATATGAAAGTGAAGTAATTTTTCCTCCCAACACAGTTATTTAGCCACTGCATGCAGAGGCAAAGATACTCAGTTATCCAAGAAGAAAAACAGCTAAATAACTCACAAATGATGCCCTGAATATTCCTCACAAGTAACTCATAACAGTGATTCAGATAAATATTTCTCAAGGAAATTGTCATCACATACCCTACAATGGTGATCAAATCCATCAACACATTTGTCACAACTTCTGCAATGTTTGCTGAATTTACGAACCTGAATATTGCTCAGAAAGACTATATTGTAAATTCATCAACAAAATAAATACAACACAAAATCTCATCAGGTCAAATTGTATATGTTATCCCTACAATTGAAATAACCAAAAAAAGACTGAACATTCACTAGGAATTTGATAAAGCAAAAAGAAATAGCAGTTCCATTCTACAGTTTCAACAAAATAGTACAAGATTATCCAAAAAAAAAGGAAAAAGTACAAGAGCCAAACATACCAAGGAAACATAAGTGCAAGCAAAAATTGTAACTAGCCAATAAAAAGGTCCTTATCTATGGGCAACAATAGTTATAAGAACAAAAATCAATATCAAAAGGCCAGCATTTCAATAGGAACAAATTACAGAAGATGTTGTTGCACCAAGCAAGAGAAGTAAACAAAAAACTAGGAACAATTACCAGGACCTTCAACTTTCCTAAAAAATAACTTTAAAAAGAACCACAAATATGATCGTTATAAGAAAATTATGATAATGTGGGCAGCAAAATGCAGATGGACCTAAAGGAAAAACCACAATAAGAACCAAGAAAATACATGCTCTAAGATGGAAAATTGATCACCAGGAACTTCTGGCAATGCAATCAAATTACTTGATTCTCAATTTGGTTAGATCAGCCAAACCATAGCTTTTTGGCTGCAAACAGTTTCTTTTTTATAGGTTTACATCAATGGTGAAATACAGAAGTTTCAGTCCCTGATCTTCAATTTTGAAACCTAAAAGGACTATTCAACCTTTTAATTATTTCAATGGACTTAGTGACAAATCCTCAACTTGGGGTTTCATAAGGAGTGCTTTCTTGAAAGACTTTCAAATTTTGGTAGCCACTGAAAAATCTTGCAAAATCTCAGGATAAACTAAAAGAAATGGAAAATCACAAACTACGAAAAGTCTAAACAAAAAAGTTATTTAGTGCATAACTTACATGAATCTCACACTGTTAGAAAAAGTTCTTTAATGCATACATACATTACATGAACATCATACTGTTTGCTGATTATTGGAATTTGTACCAAGCAGCATATACTATGTTACTAGAACTTCAAACAGCAAAGCCAACAGGAAAACGTTAGCACAGGGCTCCAGTACCTCTGCATTGCACAAGGTGCAGAATAGCGCATCCTCTTCATTGGCCTCTTGCTCGTTAATTTCTTCTTCTTTGCGACAATCATCTTTTACCAGCAAACCACACAAGAGGCCGCAAATATTCAAATAAGAGACCCAACTACACATTGTAGGAGTTTGTGGATATCTTGACTCCCTTCGAGACTCTCTGTTGGAAGCATGCTTGCCTATTAACAAACATGGGGCCTCCAAATTATGTCACAAAAGGTGAATATTAATGTTTTTTGTTACTTCCTAAAATTGAATAGGATGAAGATTTCATTTTTTTAAATCCTTAATAATAAAGACAGAGATTGATCAACTTTAATTTCAGCAAACTTTATCTCAGAACACTTACCAGAGACAATATTAATCTGCTGTCTACATGCCAATGTCTCATCATATGGCATCAAAATTCCGGGGTCCGAAGGATCAACTGCTGTGCACCTTACGTAAAGAAGAAAGACACAAAGCGCCTGAAATATCATAGAAGTAAAATAAAGACATGGCAAATGTCCTACAAATGTAAATTGCTGGAGCATATAGGATCATATCCTGGTTCCCAGCAAAGGAAAATACAGCACATGATGAGTGGGATGCACAGCACATGGGCAGGGCAGCCACTATTCGTTAACAAGATGGATGGTGAAGAAAATGACTCTGCCAAGTTTACACCATCTCTTAGCTCTGGATAACAGCCAATACTGTTCTTGAGAGCAAAAGTTGGATGAATCATGTGTATTGTACAGCACAAATATCATGTGCATGCTATACTATTCCTTTCCAGCATAAGCATACTTACCACAGGGGTGTAAACTCCCATTGCCACATATTCAAATATGTCCTTCCCAAGAAATGGAGCAAAAAAAGCATAGAATGCAATAGCCAAGAGGAAAAATACAGTTATCGCTACCACCTGCTCGAGAAAAGAAGTAATTCTCCAAAATTAGGGACAAATATTTTCAATTGCAAATCATCTATTTTAAAGTAAACTCGGGAGAAATTATCTTATAGGAAAACCAATCTGCATCAAATTTATGGAGAGAGAAAAAGAAAGACAAAATATCATTCATGCTAAAAAGCATAAGACAACAAATCATTCATTCTAAAGAGAATAAGCCTTCAGGAACCACATTATGGAAGATGAATATTCATTAAATTAAACCCACCATATTAGAAACATTAATATTCAACAACCTCTTTTTTATTATGCATTTCAGAAAAACCCTTCCATCATTAAGAATCGAACATAACTGCGACATAAGAAAAAGCCTTCGTGTTGGAGAATAAAATTCCATGACATTATTGTAATATTGCAAATCAAATCAATCATATTTTCTGATGAAATGAAATATTTTTCAGATGCTCATGCATCTTGCCAGATAAAGTTTGCCATTTAAATGTACTGAAAGTGCACTAGATACCATTGAAAGAAAAGACAAGCTCAGAAAACTGTCACGTAAAATGTTTATGAGTTAGCTGGTATAATTTTATGAACAATGGATTCATCTCAATTATCATTTATGTGCCCACCATAGAACATTGGTTAGAAACAATTTAAGGTTTAATGTTTTAGTCTGGATCTGAGAAACCATGGATTTGAGTCACATGGAATGTTGCTTATCATCATGACTGTCAAGAGTTACCTTCAGGCGAACTTAAAGAAAAGTAATAAATCTGAAATAGGGGTCATCATGGGAACATCAGGGAATCAGATCTAACACTCAAAATGGTGAATCAAAGAAGTCCCTAAATTGTGCAGAAACGATGAATAAACCAGGGTCCAAATCAATAAACATAACAAGTGTAGCCCAATAAAAATGTGTTTTCACATTTCTACCATTTTTGCATAATATTCGAAAGCCCATGGACTGAAGAGGTTGCAAATTTAAGAAATTAGGCTCTTTGAACCCTTTCACACTTCTTCTTTGAACCATAGTGATTAGAAGAAAATTCTGGAAGCATGTAACAAGGGTATCAAGAAGCTTTAAAATGCTACATGCAAGTGGTTACTCCATGTGGAGAGAGAGAGAGAGAGAGAGAGAGAGAGAGAGAGAGATAAACAATGATCTAACCCAACAAAGAAAGAAGAAAAGATTAGAGAGCTTTAAAACTCATGTTGCCTCCAACAATAATCTGATAGGAAAGACAGCATATGAATGTATATTGGAAGAAGAACACACACAAGGTTGCATGGAAGAAGAATACACGTAACCCAAATATCGTAGTTAGATGCTAGGAGGTGCACTGAAATATCATAGCATACTTTGTAAAGTTAATTTGCTAGAAATGAGTAGTATCTATTACCTCCCAGATTCATTCAGGAACATAGTTTAAATATTCTCATGTCAAAACTAATCAGGAAAAAAGCTTCCTGAGTAGGATCATGGTTCCCCAATTGGGCATGAATCAGCAAGGTTCAGCTTGCATAAATAATCAGGGTGATGTGTAGGGTGCCACACTGATGTTTTCAAAAGTGAACATCATTACCATGTAACACGGTAATTGTAAAGCAAATTTTAGTTTCGAATAAATCTAACCAATTTTGCATGGATAGTGGCATCAATTTTTCTTTGGGATCATATAATGTCTAGGAATAATAATATTTATCTCAATAAACATGTTTTCTATTATTTCCTTGTCATTGATCTTCTCCCAAAATTTTCAGAAGAAATTAAATAAACTTTAAGTCAGAAGAAATTAACTAAACTTATGTTCAGAGTCACCAATTTTAAACCACTCGCAAGCAGGCTGATTTCTTCCACCCTTTAGTTTAGAATCAAGTTTATGAGTACCATGGACTAGAGTTTTCTCCCCATTATGATAGCATCCCAATATTGGTGAACACACATTAAAACGGTTGCCCTGCTAAATTTTTGCCCATTTGTGAAATGCCCACTCACAATGCAAAATATATTTGCTTTGCGTTACCTTGCTAAATGTTTGCCTATTTGTGAAATGCGCACTCACAATGCAAAATATATTTGCTTTGAGTTTTTTGTTTTTTTTCAAGGGTCAGTTCAACGAAACCCAAATGTAAGGTTTTTTTTTTTTTTTTTTGAATATGACCCAAATTTAAGTATTAAATCAACAGGGCACCATTCAGCCCATTAACTTTGTAACATCACAATCACTTAGATGAAAAAGTGGCCTGATAGAAAGTGGGGGAAAAGAAGTCAAACTTGAGCTGAAAACAGCTCTAATTGTCCACAAAAAGCAGACCTCAATCTGCTACCAATGGGTATTTGTATTTACTCAGGTCATATAGATCTTAAAAAATAGTCATAATACCAAAAAAAGGCCCCTCCTCATGACATGAACATCAATTTGTTGAAATTATGACATAAAGAAAAAAAGGCAATAATTTCAGGTCAGGAAACATTGTAGGCCACGGGGATTATTGCAGAAAAGAGAAGCTCACTAAATAAGGAAAAGAAAAGATCAAAAAGCTATATAGCAAAAACTGAGACTATGATTAAATGCCCAATCCAATATGAACTAAGAGAAAAACAAGTAAAGATGTCTCTCTCATATACACCAGCGCGAGGCTAGAAGGAAAAAGCATTCAAACAATAATCCAAAATATGGGATTAAAAAGCTAATGAAATAGATTACCAAAAAAACATCAACTATAAAATGTACCGAATCAGAGGTGCAATTTACATAGAATGATAGAGGATAATGAAAAACCACAATGTACTAATCCAAAACTAGCCAAACCCAAAATCATTTGATCTCACTTATCACACAGTAAATGAACATTCAACTGAATCTATCACATTCGAGATGATAAAGAAAAAAGAAAAAGATGAACAAAGGAGAGGGAGAACAATCAAACCTGAAACGTGTGAGCAGGGAGCTGCCAGCCATGCCGCCTTGCCATGACCGCATACCAAAAGCTTCAACCTTTGAAATTTGTTCCCTCTGTTAGATGCATTTTACCACTAAAACACATTTTCCTAAGACGGAAATGGGGGTTCTCAGACTGAATCAGGACACTGGGAACCGTTTGAAACCAACCCCACTTTCTCTCTCTACATCATATTCTCTCTCTCTAAAACCATTATCTTCTCTCTCTAAGGAACAGTTTAGAACTCATGTAAATGGGTTTTTGGAAACAGACAAGAGCAGATCCGGAAAACGCCATGGAGAAGCTCCGCCTTCTCTCCACTACTCTCACACTACATATTCTGCTGGCCTCCTGTGAAGGGAGGAGCAAGCAGTCAGAGAGAGAAGAAAAATGAGTGAAAAGAGCTAACACCCCAATCTATTCAGAAAATGTCAAAATAGTCCTATCCAGTAACGTTAACTTCTTTGTAAATGACATCGTTGCTCCAAAATATCTCCATTTCCAATGCTAGAGAGAGAGAACATTAAACAAGTGAACACCGTGAATCAAAAGAAAAAGAGAGAGAGAGAGAGACAGTTTTAAATGAGTAAGCAGCGTGAAACAAAAGAAAGGTCCCATTTTCCTAATCCATACGAAAATGTCAGATTTTGTTGTTGGAGGAAATTTTAATGGGAAAACTTTATACGGAGCCTAGGCTCTAAACAATCAAATTAGAGCCTACCTAAAACATTTCATTTTAAGAGGTTGTTTTGATGCCTAAATATTTTTAAGTTAATCATCTCGACATCAAACTGCATAGACTTGAGAAAAAAGAAAAAAGCTTATATAAAAGATGCTACCTTATAATGTAGAACTACGGATGCCCCTCAAAACTCTATTCAAAAAGGTAATTTTAATGTTCTAAAACCCTTTGATTGATCATCTCGACATCGAGATGTACGACCATGAAAAATAAAAAGATTTTGAGTCTCAAAAATAGTGCATTTTACATCATACTATCTACACCGTCCATTTTCAATATTTTCATATGTTTATAGATCTACTTGATTTTAACCATTTTTTAAATTTAAAATTTTATAATTACATATAAAAACAGATTTTGAGATAATCCTAAGAACATTTTACATCAAAATTATATACCATGATAAATTTTGAAGGTGCACCTTACCTCTCCACCTACGGATGCACCCATATGCCACCTGCACAAGTTTTGGAAATAGAGTATTTTATAATGCATTTTTCAACGGTCATTTTTGAAGTTATTCAAGTTTTCATAGTTATGCTCGATCTACACTATTTTTTAAGCTTTTAATTTTATAATTAAAGGTGAAAATATATTGTAAAGCTAGTCAAATATTTTCAATATTAAAACCACATTTACCGATATTATTTAAAGATGGGCTCTATACAAACCGCACCCAATTTTAAATGCGATAGTCGATAGAAAATCCTTATGGACTAACAAAAACTGCGAAATTGTCGCCTCCAATCGAGTTCTACACCATTGCCTTGTAGTGCTACTCCTCTCTAGTTCTAACACCGTTGCTTTCTCAATAATAAACAATGAGAGATTCAAGTTTATGAACTCGGACTCGGTAGAATAACTTGGCCTCATCCGAGTGACAAACACGAGTCTCTCTCTGCTCCATAATAAATAATGAGAGATTCAAGTTTATGAACTCGGCCTCGGCAGAATAACTTGACCTCGCTCCAGGACAACACGAGTAAAGGGGAAGTTAGGTGCCCAACTCACCATGTTAAAAAAAAACTCCGAAAAATATAAAAATATATTTGTGCCTCTTTTTTCAACTATTTGAGATAGGTTTAAAAAAAAAAGAAAAAAAAGTTATATTTGGAATACTAAATCAAATGAGTATGACTGAGTAAAGATTCTTAATTTGGTACTTTGAGGGGCAGGAGACTCATAACTCATACTAAATCAAATGAGTATGACTGAGTAAAGATTCTTAATTTGGTACTTTGAGGGGCAGGAGACTCATAACTCTCTCTTTTATCTCTCTAAATAAGGCTATATCCTCCATCAACATATCAATGCCTTGCCTTCACCTCTCCCTCGCATTAGATTTTGGGTGCTTCCATTTCTCTCTGCATCGAACCGTCGCTCCATTTTCTGCATCGATCTCTCCCTTCAAAACCCAAGAGCATTTTTTGTATGCAAGCTCATCTTGGACGTTGGTATGCAAGCTCTTGGGACCCCTCACTCCCTACTATAAAAAAACAAGCGTTTTTTTCTACTTTCTGTATCAAAAACTAACTTGCAGGTTTCTGATAGAAAACGGGCAACGGATTCCATTTCATAGTTCAATGACCAAAACGAACTGCTGATCCCATAATCTTTCGCAAATTGACCGTTGATGCATGGTCCAAGCCATTCACTCATTTATGTTTTTTATTAAATTAAATAAAATTTATTTCCAAACAGTTTAATATTGAACACAATTGACCAATTGCCTTGACCTTCTTTCTCTCTCACTTGATTGAAAGAAAAATCATTACAAAAAGGCATAAATGCAGCTGGGAAAATGGACCCGCCTCGTGTTTTGTTACGAAGACAAAAGGGTTTAATAAAAAGTTGGCATAACTTTTATGCAATGGGTAGGGATCTCTCTCCATCTCTATATCTCGTTATCGGATCCGCAAGACCTCATTCACTGTCCTTGCTCACTCCCACTCACTCACTTTTTTCACTATCTTGAGGGCATATTTCCTCTAAGATCCACTGGGAGTTTTGTTAGGGAAAAAGTTTTTATGCTTTTTTAACAATATAGAAGTTCTATCTTTCCTCTACCATCCAACTATTCAATTTTGATCAAGAGAGCCATTCATTATTTGATCTTAGATCTGACTGCGCAAAGTACTTTATTTTTGTTTTTTTATACAAATTATATGAATATGAAATTTGGTACGTACCATCTTCTCATCGGGGCACACCTATAAAAAATATTAAAAATAATTTTTTTATAAAATATAATGATAAATTTTTGTTTAAGGGTATTTTAGTCATTTTATTTTATTAATAATATTTTTTTTCTATTTTTCGCTAGCGCAATCTTACTAGACGGATGGACGTCCAAAATTTGACGTCGAAATAGTTCATAGAAAAAATTTAAAAATAAAATAGTGTAGAGATGTGACATTGTGCTTGGAGCAATCTTAACCCTCCATTCAGAATGGACAGTTGGATAAAGGAGAGGATAGAACTTCTATATTGTAGAGAAAACTTGCCCTTTTGTTATATAAGAAATTTTAGTAATTTATTTTTTTACTATTCCAACTCATGGTTGTGTAATTTGATGGGTATTTTAATATTAAATAAAATAATATAAAATATTTTATAAAAAGATATCAACCATATACTATACAAGTGCACTTCAAAAACTCGACATAAAAGGTTGTTACTATACAGTGTATACAAACTACACCCATATTTAATCTCTTTATGTATATTTTAATAGATTTCTTAATATTTGGTAAACTCGTAATCCCACTGCACATTTTAAAAAAGGGTGTAGTTGTATAGAACTGAGGCTCTAAACAATCAAAGTAAAACACACCTTCAAATAATGTTGAGAAATATAGTTTCAATATTAAAAATCTTTGTGATAGCCTTAAAATATATTTTCATATTTAATTATAAAATTTGAAGCTTCAAAAAGTAGTGTAGATCGAGCATATCTATGAAAATTTGAAAATCTTGAAAATTGACGATAAAAAAATGCTTTACAAGATACACTATTTCTAAAACTCAAATTCCATTTTCTTATCATTTCCATGCATCTTGATGTCGAGATGATCAATTTAATGATATTAAGGCATCAAAACAACTTCTTCTAGTGAAATTTTTGAAGTGGGCTCTAATTTGATTGTTTAGAGCCTCGGTTCTATATGAACTTTTTTAAGAAAACAAGATGCACTATTTCTAAAACTCAAATTCCATTTTCTTATCATGTCCATGCATCTTGATGTCGAGATGATCAATTTGATGATATTTAGGCATCAAAACAACTTATTCTAGTGAAATTTTTGTGGGGGGTTCTAATTTGATTGTTTAGAGCCTCGGCTCTATATAAACTTTTTTAAGAAAACACTAAGAAGTTAAACCCTTTTAAAAGCATATGAAAAGACTGAGCGTTTGCAGCCTTAAAAATGTTAGGAGAGTAGGTATCTTCATGTGCCACACAAATAAACCCTAGTGGCATTTTAGTCATTTAACCAGAAACAAGGACGATGCCTGTTAAAAAAAAAAAACCAACGACAGGGCATGTATTTATAAGCATTTAATGGTGCCCAAAGGCCCCAAACTCAAGGGTCCGGGGTTTTCAAATGTGGGAGATGGTTGAACTTCAAAATTTTATTACATAATAAAATATTTTATGACCCATTGCTTTATTTATTCTAAGATTCCCAACGTCGTAGTGTTGGTTTCTTTATTGCATTGATTCCTTTGGGCTACGCTCTGATGTCACCCAATCTCACATTCACATACATAATCGAGAAAATTACCTCCTTCTTTAATTTACTGATATTACTAAAATCCCCTCTAAGATAGAAATTTTGCAATTTTTATTTTGTGCAAAATATCCTAATTTTTTACTTTGAGATAGTTTTCAACCTAATTTCTGTTTTCAACATTTTTGCCTCTTATATGCCTGAAAAATTAAAATTTTTATATTCTCAAAATCTGAAAGTTCTTCCTTGACGGAAAAAGAAAAAAAAAAAAACACGCCTCTAACAAGTTGGCCCCAAAAAAGTGAAAAAAAAAAAAAACTTTGGACTCTCAAAAACTGAAGTTTTTGCTTGACAAAAAAAAGTAAAAAAATAAAAATGGTCAGTCAAACTTCGGATTTTAAACCAAAGCGTATTGGAGTTTTTTGTATAGGAACAAAATAAATTTGGATTTTGAAAATTTGAAGTTGTTATGCATTTTCTTTCAACAAAAAACTTTGGATTTTAAAATCCGAAGTTTTTACTTACAAAAGATTAACGAAGCAAAAAAGTAAAGTACTTTTGATTGGCTAAACTTCATATTTTTAATATCCAAAGTTTCTTTTTAGGGCACTCAAAACACAGGTAAAGGGTTCCCATCTTCGAAATCCAAAATATGGGTTTTTTAATTATTTTTCAGAAAAATGAACAAATCAGTTATGACTTATGAGTAATAACGTTAAAAAAGGGGGTCAACTTCTAAAATAACAATACTTTGAGAAGATATACAGGTTAATTGCGCCACACGCATAAAAATAGTTGTCGTTTACTTGTCAAAAAAAAATTGCGCTATTATCTTTGACTTAGTTTTTAAATCCACTTGAGCCGGCTCCCCCATTCTCCTGTTTTTTTCCCGTCCCATTAAAAAG